TGCCAAATGGGACACAAACAGTGGCACAGAACTAAGAGTTAGAATACAGAGGGTGTTAGCCAAACTCTGTCTATGGTGATTCAGTGACCTTTCAAGTGTCGCTTGATTTCTCCATGCCACTGAGAAATGAAGTTATTGGGCTGGAAGAACACTAGGTTCTTTTCCAGCTCTGACATTTTGTGGTTACATGAATGTGGAATGACTGAACATCAAAGACAAATGCTAAGCCATGTGCTTTTAAGTTCACTAATCCTTCCCATTGAATTCATGTGGGCTGTCTCTGAATCAATCACTAGATGACCGTCATCATTGTGGGCTCCTGTGTTGCATTTGAAACCAGCCTTTTCTGTTTGTTGTTCACTTAGTTCCACTGTCCCTGACTATTAGCTTAAAGATTAATCATGATGACTGGCAACTCGGGTGAATGGCAGTTGAGTTCATTTAATCAGAACTGCACTTCGGAGTTAAATATATTTAAATTTCTAACCTCAACTGTAAGCCAAGTTTTTGCTCACATTCTTCTCCACCTTGTTCTTTCTCTAATGGAGAACTTAAACCTTTATCTAGAGGGAACTATTGATTTTTCTAATGATCAAAGAGATGGTGAAATCACAATCGTGAGGTTCTGAGATTAGCCTAATAGGGCATCGGAAGACAGAAAAAGAACACATAGAAGATATTTTCTTTGGTGCCTAAAGAAGCTTTATTACTTTGGTGATATTGTTATTATTAATGCCAAGACATTCATCAGTAGATCAATAACAAGGGTTAGGCACTTGTTATATCTTAGGAACCCTGATAAGCACTTTACAAACATTATTTTACTTAAAAGAATAATCCATTAGATAAGTATTATTATTAGTTCCTTTTTATAGATAAATAAACTAGAACTTAGAAAGGTTGGGCATTTTGCCATAAATCCCAAGGCCAGTGAGTGCAGAACAGGGATTTGAAACCAGATTGCCAATCTCTAAGGGCTCATGTGATTATGTCGTACATTATATTGCTTCCTAAGTATCAATAACCACCATTATCTGTTGAATGATTGCTAAATGACAGAGATTTAATAATTGACCTAATATCTTAGTGAGTGGTGGAAACAGAATGCAGCATCTTTTTGACTCCAAAGGTCAAGATCTTTCTACCACAATTGTACATTGAAAGAAAAGTCATTTACCATGTTTCCATGTGGCTAAGGCATTTGTAACTAATTAAAATTAAGGTGCCTCCTCAGATGTCATCGTAATGTAGGCAATCTGTTATTAAGGAACAATATTCAAAGAAGTAAGCTAGGAAGTGAAATGAAAAGGGCGATATTGCAATAACATCCTCAATTGCAGTAACATCCTCAAGGGAACATAGAACATTTCTTCTAAATTGTCCAAGGTTAAAGGCATATTTTTTCAGCCTATATAAATATTTTTATTTGTTTATTATGGCAATTGGTAACTAATAATCAAATCTTAAAATGAAGTATCTAGTTTTTAAAGCCATTCAACCCCCTTTTTTCTGAGTTTTGTATCCTGTAGGTTTCTCTCCAGACCAAGACAGAACTAACCAACCTGACTGAATAGTAGATGTGTTTATGAGTTATAGTGCCGTTATAAAAGAATAGTAAGAGAAAAGGAAGCTATGGTAAGTAAATGCAATGTACAAGCTTTGATTAAGTTTTGGATTATGGGGGGAAATGCCATAAAGGACATTGGCAGGACAATTAGAGAAAATTATATGTGGATTGTGTATTAGATATTAGTATTTTGTCAATATTGAATTTCTTCAATTACATAATTATACTTTGGTTTTGTGAAAATATTACCTGTTTCTGGAAAAAGATAAGTATTTCGGGTAAAGGGACATGATATCCAGGAGTTATTCTCAGAAGTTTGTCTCAAGAAAAAAAAGTATCTATATAAGGAATGGGAATGATGAAGTCAATGTGGGAAAATGTTAGAAATTAGTGATTAAAAGATATAGCAGCATTGTAGCAGCTCCTCCAAAAGTTTGAAATTATTTTAAATTAAAAAGGTTTAAAAAAATCAGTTGCCAGGCTAAATCAGCTTTGTGTTTTCATATTTAGTATATTTTTTTCTAGGCCTGAGGAATCTTTAAATAAGGATTTGACAAAAAGTAAACAAACATTTCAAAACTCTTGATCAATTCAGGATATCACCAGGTCAACTTTCTACAAATATTTCTAAAAAACTAAATATTTGTAAAACTAATCAAAACTAAAATAAATATAAATAAATATACAGAAAACATTTCTATCCCTTTGGCATAGATATTCTATTAGGCAATAAAGCTGACTTTGCAGGGATTTTGGAATTATTCTAAGTGTCTGTGAGAATGACTATTTTTTCTTGGGATAAACCAACTGCCCAGTATCTAAGGGCCCATTAGGAGATATGATGTAGAGCAATCTTCAGCCCCACCAAGAATTTTGTGGCCTTGTCTTGAGAGAAAGAGATCCCATCCCTACTCTTCTACAGAATGTCGAAGTACGAATTGTGCTTTTTCACCCTCATTTGTGCCTTCACTCAGGTCGATATCTTCCAGATATAATTAATTGCACAGTCCCAGCACATTACAAGAGTAAACTCTTATGCTCTTATGGCAGACCCTAAATTATGGTAGCCAGAGAGTCTAGCCATCATTTCTAATTTCCCTTCCCATATATTCTTTCATCATCAAAATGAGAAGTTTCAAACGGATCTCCAGAAAACATTAAAAAAATCCCAAAGTAAATCAGCAAATAAAATTCTAATTGGAACATGTGCTTCATGTAAAATTATAACCTGGTTATTTGATATACTCTGAGAAAGCCACCCAAATATGAGTTTAATCTGTGGTACATGTGTACTTCCAAAGGTCTAAGTGAAATTAGATGCTCAAAAAATTGCCTGCATAGCCCAGGGAAAGGCATTAATCACTCCTGAATTATGTGAAGAGATAGCTAAAATTCTCTTCTTTGAGCTAGCTTTATTTGCAGTTGGCCACAAAATTTTTAAAAATATATTTTCCCCATTTCTCTTTGGCTGTTTCGAAATAAATCTAGAAGTGGGGAGGAAAAAAGGACACTAGACAATGAGAATTCGTATCTGAGTCCTGATATTTTGCCTCTTCCTGAACAGTTACTTCCAACTTTTGTGATTTAGTTTGGTACTCCTGAGGATAAAAATACTTTCTACTGTGTGGCTACTGAGGACAATGAGATCATGTGTATGACTGCAGAACTGAATTCTACATGATAAAATTCCTTATTGTTTTCCTGTAGCACATGGGCTAAAATGATACCCTTTAACTTTCCAAGGCTTTAAGAATTATTGGCAGTACGCCTTTATAAATTGGAAGAAAAGGAATACAAATAATGTCTGCAGGCTCAGGATGAGCCAATATAAAACAGATATTTTCTGTTTAATCCTGTAATATCTTATTTATATAGTGAAGATTTAATTTTCAAATATTTAAACTTGCTTCTGGCTTTTGTCTTGTTCTGTGTTCAGCTCTTTGTTATACATTTTTTAAACGTTCTGGTGTGATGCCATTACAATATTAACTTGTCTATCTATTAATCTATTTATGCATGATTTTAAACACATCTTTTAAAAATGTGGACACTGACTGTCTGGTTTTGGGAAAACACAACATCCCTCTGTATTTGGATATTTTCCCTTCTCAGTGTCCTAAGATTTTTTAGGTCTCCCTAAGACTTTGAGTCTCCTAGTTTTCAAAAACAGTAATTATGTCCCCAAACTTGGAAGATAGTCCAGATTGCAAATCTTATAGGGCTGCACAATTCTGCGAAACTTATAACCAGAGTTAAAATTATTTCAAGTCTACGAAGTTAATGAATTTCATTCATTCACACATTGTTGCACACTACTGTGGCAGCTATTATAATGTCCTAATAACATTTCTACTGAAGTATCTATTAATGTAAAATGATAAACTTATTTATGTAAAATCCAGATCTGGAAAATATTATCCTAATGATTACTTAGCTTAAAATTTAAGCTGCCGAACTAAGAATAGTTTAGAATGTGCACAAATACACAAAAAATGATTCACTTATTTTGCTTCCTACATAGCAGCACAGGCAGAAGCTCTTTGGATGAAGGCATAAATATGCAGGTATGGTCCAGTTAGTTTTACACAGAGAACACTGTTCCAGCTGCTCCCTCTTGATCTCTGGATCTCTTCTCAGAACACTCAGTGCTCCTTCATTGCATAGAAGAACATCTTCATCATGGTATTAATTGATGTTAAATGAGGCTGGGGAAAAGGCAAGTTCTCTGGTTAAATAAATTTGGAGAAAAACTGTATTAAACAAAACTAAGCAGGCTGTACAACTTCTCAGAACCTGGAATATGCCATGTGCAGTTTGAAATTTTTCCAAAATTATTTCCAATGGAACATTTTCTGAGAGACTATGTTGTGGAACTTCTTTTCCCCTTATTCGCTACAAATCAAGCATCAATTAAGGTTCATATCCAGTCAAATTTCCTTCATGAGACCCTACCCAGTTCCCTCAGAGGTTATCACTACCTTGTTGGCATATTACTGTGCTCTTATGGTTCTTAGAAATTTCCATTATACACCCACTTTGTCTTTCTGTCTGTCTGTCTCTTCTCTCCCTCCCTCTTTCCTTCCTCTTTTTTGTTTGTATGGTGTCTTTGTTCTCCACTAAAGCACTGTGAGATAATGGAGCGCCTACTATTCACCAGTTTTCTTTAACACCTAACACAAAGTTCTATGTGTTCTAATTCCAGAACTTTGTAGGAACTCAATAAATGCTTGCTGAAGGACTGCAATCATCTATCTCAAATGTTTCCTATTGATTTCAAGAATTCTTCTGGAAAATAAAATGTTTCTTTACCTATTTGAGAATGAGCAGATTAGACTTTTCTTTTTAAATGCATCTTTATGCTTAAGTTAACACTGCTTTTGAGTGACAGCGAGATTACCATAACCAAAATTTCTACTTAAAAAATTCAAACTTCACAAGAATCATGCAAGATTGGTTTTATTAAGCTTTATGTTTACATTATAGCTAAGTATTTCAGATAGTACTTAATTTGACAAGCACACATGACATTCTAGGAAACATGTCAACAAACTCCAAGGACTTCACAACTACTGTGAACAGCACACATCTCTGCAGTTAACAGGTATGTTAAGTATTTCAAGGCTGTTATTGAAAAAACACGAAGTGACAACTGGTCTTCTTCTATAAAATGATTATCCTGAACAAGTAGCTACAAACAAAAGCACATGATTATTAGGAGCTAGAGAGATCTTCCATCTAAATCTATCCTTTTTATTATAGATGGGATTTGGGGGTTACATATCAGAAGGTAAATGATTCAGTATAAGCTATACATCAAGTATACTACGTATAGTATTAATGCTAATATGATTAGCTTATGTTTAAAAAATCAAGAAAAGAATAATGTTGTTTTTAAACACTATCATAGATTAGCGACTGTAGGAGATGCTCAGCCATTGAGGATTCTTCTCTCCATTTTTGTAGTTACTTTATGAGTTCTTCTGAGAAATCTTCATTGTGACGGTTTTAACCTCTGTGTATTCGTGGAAACCATATTCTCCCCTAGAGAGAGTGGGGTGAGGGGAGGAAACCCAGAGAGTTTAGCACAGCAGTACAAATGTACTATAGTTCATGATTTGGTATAAGTTTGTTCTTGCTCATCTGGTTAGGGACAATGGAAGATATTTTCTGTGTACAGAAACATTTCAAAGAGTAGCTAGCTAACCATAAGATATTTAGTCTTATATAAATCTCCATGTGTGGAGAATTTTCAAAATTTTTTTTTGCATTTCAAATAATCATGTTTGCTCAATTGATTTTTACAGAAATTGTCCATTTTTGATAGTATTTTACTTGACTATAAAAGAGGTCACCACACACACACACACAAAATTCAGCCCAACACAAATTTTATTTCTAGTTTAGGTTAAAATAAATAAGACATATATAGTACAAAAAGAAAACTAGTAATAAATTGTCACTCAAATAGCATAGAAAAACTAGTAAATTCAAGTATAGCTTAGCTTAGTTATCATGTGTTATTGGCCCAGAAGTGACAAGGGGGCTAAAAATGACCATGCTGCCATTTTCATTCTAACATGCCCTAATAGGGCTTGAAGTGAATATTTTCTAGCTCTAGTTTTAAAAATATCTTTTAATTCTTGATTCTTGGCAAAATTTTTTTAAAAATCTGACCTCTTTTTAGAGGTTTTTCTTTCCTTTTTGTTTGTCTATTTTGTTTTTAAGAATGAAAAAGAGTTCATTAGCTTAAATTCAAGCCTTTGGACATTTTGTGGTTTTTTTGGTTTTCATATTCATACAACGCCTGCCATTTCCTTATATAACTCTTAAATAAATGATCAGGAATTAGCTGAGTCAATCAATTAGGATCATGGTATCTTGTTATCAGGCTTATCAAGATCTTCTACCAGTTTTAAAACTGACTGATTTATCCTTTGTTAAAAAGATAACTAAAAAGATTAGTCTAAGTTATTCTCTGTATTGTTTTGAGGAGAAGATTAAATTACATGTACCTCAGAGTATTCTTCAGATCATAACACTAATGCACATGTAGGCTTACAGAGGAATAAGATCTTGATCTTTTTCTACCTCTCCTGTCTGATGATATAGGCAGGTATGTAGAAGACATCTTTTTCTCCTGGGTAACCTAATCCTCTTATACTGATTATTTTCTTGGGCCATTAAGCTTCTGAAAATGCCGTCTAAAAGCTTCAATGAGCATGTTCTTCAAAGTAATTAAAGGGTTTAGTCTCAGTTATCTGAAACCCATTAAAGGATAATATTTTAGTAAGTATTTTATCTCACAAAGTTAGATATATTAACCCATGATTTTTGCCAATAAGCTTTCTATTGTATTTTGGGTTACATGGACACTTGAAACTCTCAGGATAGCACTAAGTGTGATTATTGTCATACTCAGGCTGAAGTAAGTCCTGCTCCTTAATATTCCTGTGCATATGTTATGTCTATTACACAAAACATGTTTATACTTCTCTCTTTATCGTACTTGTCGTGGGTGATTAGTTCTGTGCTTCTTAAAACTTCAATGTACCAATAACTTGGGACCTGATTGAAATGCTGATTCTATTTCAGTAGGTCTGGAGAAAGGCCTGAGATGCTGCATTCCCAACACACTTCCATGTGATTCCATGCTTCTCATTCAGGATCTACACTGTAGTAACAAATTGCATCTGGTTTTCACTCTGGACCCAGAAATGAGCCTGGCACTAATTAAGAGGCACAGAGGAAATGTTTGCTGAACTGCTTTGGCAAATATAATCAAGCAAAAACATTCATGAGTTTTTTCTATAGGCCCAATAGTTTGTAACATTTCCATGCTCCCCTTTTCCAAAGGAACAGGAAGAAATATTTTGTGGAGTGCTGAAAGTCAATTAAGTTTGAAATGGCATACTGATAAAGTCTCAAGTGACTTATCAGTGCAATTATACAAGGGAGAAATTTCTGCCATTTAACTCATTCCAGAGCCAGCACCAAGATATGAGATGCTAATCTAGATTCGGGCACTCATTATCGCCACCACGTTGAGGTCTACATAACACTATTTTTGGCTTTTTGAGGACTCTGTTCCCAACTAATCAATTCTGCCTTTCTGCTGTTGTTTATAAATTGTTAATGAGCTCCTGGGAGTGGTTTGAGATTATCACTTCAATAATTCTCTTTGAACATCTTGCAGCAAATGATGTGTTTATTAAGTTTACCAAATTTGATTTCAGGTAGACATTAAAAGTAGCATTCTTGGCTAACACTTCGAAGCAAAAATTTACCATATAACTTTTTCTTTTGTGTTTTAAAGAAGGAAATTATCTATGGCCACTTTTCAGATTCTTAGAAAATTACTGAGAGTTGATTCCTGTTTTCCATCCCTGTCTTATTTGATTTCCTTATGCCTCGACCTTAAAGTTTGACCTAATTGAATTAAATAGAATTTTCATGTTTGGTCTACTTTGTTATTTCATCTCTTTTGAATATGTTATCTTCAATATTCCTAGAGAAATGTGTTAGATAGTTGGGCCAGCAATAAACTAATTGTACTTCAGAATAATCTAAGCTTTGCTACAGCTTTTTGTACAAAGTAATTAGTTCAGCCAAGGGAATCTCCAATATTGGTTATTATAAATAAAAAGAACTAGAAAAGGAAATCATTTTGTTGAGTTTATACTTTGTGACTCTTACAATGCTAGAGAATGAACATGCACTATGTCATTTTACTCTCATATCTAAAGAGGAATGTTAACATCACCTTAAATAGGAGAAAACAGAGGCTCAGAATTATACAACTTGAACCAAGCTGCGTAGCTAGTGAGTGGTAGAATCAGGATTCAAATGCAAGTCGGCTAATCTCCAATTATATTTTCTTTACTATGTCATGCACTTTTTATGGGTTGATCTTTTGCTATTCTTTACCTCTTCAACATTTTAAAGATATCCATGGCTTTTCACTGCTCCACTGATAAAATGTAATTCAATTTTCTTGAATTCAAGACTTCTTAATCTGTATTCTTTTTAACTCGGAAATCATACTTCCCACCTCCAAAAATCTCCATCAGTCTACCAAATTCCCTAGCCCCTCAACATGTCACATGTAATGTTCTGTTCAAGATTGCCACTTCTCCACTCACTGACTCTCTACACTTGTTTCATGCCCTAGGTCAAGTTCCTATCCTTTCCGTGATGTCACCTCTTACTCTAATTACTGCTATTAAGTTTTTATCCATTGAATTCCCACTGAGATTACACCATAGACTCTTCAGCATGGAAAGGAGCTCATAGACCATCTATTTTCCTCTTTCACTCTTGTCCCCACCACAAATGCTGACCTCATAGGACAGATGACAGCTGTGAGTTAGAGATGCCATAAATCTTATATTCTGGTAGTGTCCAGATTTTCTATCCTTTAATGCTGTGGTCTACACTTTAACTGCTTCTCCATCTCCGGGAGGTATAGACTCCCAGTCTATTACCATTTATTTCATAGTGCGTGTAGGTGTACTATATATGCTTTTACATATTCTTCTTGCCACCACAATTATATGAAGGATGGGACACAGTATGATGTTTCTAGGGCTTCCTGGGCCTTACATACATATGAATTCTTAATGAATGTACATTGAGAGGGGGATGGATCATTTTATCATTTCCCCTTTTCTGGCTGTCCAAAGACAGTTGCTTCATTTTAATTTTGCTGATTTATTTATATGATAAAGCATGCGGTTATTTCATGCATCTATGACCGTTAGAAACTAAGACTCATTTTACTTGCTATTTATAAAACAGGGCAGCTTTACTCTGATCCCATAGATTTGTATATGATGTATCTGTTTTCTTTATGATTTTTACAATTTATTAATATAAGAAAATTCTAAAAAATTAAGTAGTTAAAATTGATTGAACAAAAATAAGCAAATATATCGCCACTATCTTCTATGTAGGTAAACATAAAAAAAAATCTATATAACTTGACTTAAAAAGCAACTGAAAGCTCATAAATGCACTTTTATATATATTCTCAATTTAATCATGACTATACAACATGTTTTCCTTAGTCAAATTTCCCTTTCAGTTTAGATTGTAGTGCCAAAAATAACTCAGTTAGGTAATTTAAAATTTTGGCATCTACATCAATAATTTTTTAACAAATGAGAATCATTCCTCTTACAATAAAACTTTTTTTAAAGTAAAGACCACCTAATTTACTTATTTAAGAGGCATATTCAGATAACTAGAGTTTTCTTACGTTTTCACACTTTTTATAATCACCAATTTGTAGTTACATTTTCACACTTTTTGTAATCACCAATTTGTAGCTCCTTTCTGGAAATGTTTGCTAAATAGATTATAATTATATATACAGCAAGCAATTCTAAAAGTAGGCAATATTTCAATAACCAAAGTGCTTAGTATGGTCCCTTATGAATAGTAGGAGCTTAATAAAATATACTTCTCTTCTGCCATTACCTTTTTGTACTTATGGGGTAAGTCTAGCATTTCAAAAGCTATTTAGCAACACGAATCTCCAGGAAAGAACAGAGGCAAGTTTTAATTCAAGTAGTGACTATGGATTAATTCCCTGGGAGTGACAACCATTTTTATTGACACAAGTATTTATCTTAATAGAAAGTTATTCTTACAGTTCTCGTCCATTTCCAGACATCTTGAATCCACCAAAGGGACTCTGGGGAGATACCACGCTGTAGCAATTCACCCTGAAAGAAAAGAAGTGCATTATAGATCATACTTAACCTGTAAAATAAGTTCTAAAATTGGAATTCTAGAAATTCAGAGAGCTCTTTAAGGACTCCATTAATTTTAATATAACGTATTCATTGAGATAAAAAGTAGCACTATAGATTAGGTTGCAGAAGAAAAAAATATATGAATATACACTGCCTGGAAACAAATAGAAGGGTATAATTCTGTGTGTGGATGGCCATTTTAGTTAGGGTATTATGTCCTTCGAAAGTTGTACTTTGAATTATAAAAGATAAATTAGCCAGTATGCCATAGGAGGAAGGATATGGCTTACGAGATACTGGAGTTTGTGGCTGGGTGTTCTTTACTGCCTAAATTCAATAAGCTTTGTAATTCTCCTGAGAGTTTCATACCTTGCAAGCAAGAATCAATTTTCTTTCACAATTGGAATATGTATCATATTACTCAGTTCACTTCTTTTTCATTAATTGGTTCAAAAACTGTGTAAATGGAGGCATTGGTAGGAGTTAGATCTCATTATTAATTTGTTTACTCCTTGCTGTATTTCTGAGCAAATATAATTATAAAAATATGAATAATTACAATTAAAGAAAAAAATAGTGTAAAAGATCAAGACAAAGAGAAAAAGTTAGAACGCAGTTAAGCAGGGCATGAGCAATTTGTTTAGCTTTAAATTTCCTAGTGGCCAAGTGAACAGAGAAATCTATCTACATGATTCTCATTATATGTAAGAGGGAAAAAATATTATTTAAAAAAGAACAATGTTCTTTTAAAATACTTTTCCCTCCCTTCATGCTATTATAATAGGTAAACAATGGTATGACATCTAAATAAGTAGTATTATACTTAGAATAGTTTGATTATTAATTTGACCCTGAGATAATATTCAGACATTTTCTCAGTTACAGCATTTACTAACTAATTCCCAGAGTTCCAAATTTTCATTGAACCACAGAGTTCTTATCCAGCCTCTCCTTCTGGAGGATAGTTCCTTAAATAAACTCAGACTTTCAAAAGACAGCTTGTCTCAGCTTTGTTTAATTGCTCTTTCAACTACAAATGGAATCATTACTTTGAAATTAAGGGTACAATTCCAACAACTCTGGAATTCAATACTTAACTTGAAAACATTAAGCAGTGACTATGTATGGGACAATGCCGGGACACTATTATGTTCCAGGACACATTGTAATAAGATTATGGTTGCCTCTGTTTGGATAGTAGAGAAATGCTTGACTGGAGATTCCCACGCCACTGAGTGGAATGATGTCATAACAAGCTTCTTAGTCAGGCAGGCATCTAACATTCTGTTATTCCTAAGTCAAAAACCTGAGACTTGTTTTTGTTAAAAGCACAGACAATGTGTTTGCCCTTTTGACTACACTGAAAATGAAAATATTTTCACATAAGTAAACAGAAAACTGAGAAATATTCATTAGAGAAAACTGTAAGTTCTAAATGATCAGCCTTGCCAATTAATTCTCTTTCTATGATCCTTTCTTGTTATAAGGGAGGTGCTAGGCCCACAGAGCCTGGCTCTGCCTCTTAGAACCTGAGTGATATTAGGAAAGTTATTTAGCCTCTCTAAACAAATGTTTCCCCCTATGCAAAATGGGCGCAATAATATTACTGTGATTGTGTCATGGAGTAAGATGATGCATAGAATGTGCTTCACATAGTGCTTGGTACATAGTGAGTCTTCAGTAAATGGAGATAATATACACACATACAATAGCAATACTGATTTTATTAATAATTTTATCATAGGATAATTCTACATGAATTACTAGCCATACTGATTATTTATGAAGAATTCACTCCATTTTATTTAAGAGTCTCTGAAAGAAAACATCCTATCATAAAAAGAATCAGGCTTTTGAGCAGTGGTTCTCAGTCCTGGTTGCACACTACAATCATATGGGTGCTTTGAAAAATACTCTTTAAGTAAAAGAGCTACAGAGATTGATATAATTTGTAGGTTTAATGTATACCATCCCTGATCCAAAATCATTTTATATATGTTTAAAGTTCCTCAGACAACTCTGATGTATAGCCAGGGTTGAGAATCACTGCTTTAGAGTCTGACATAGGTCTGAATCTCAGCTGTCATTTATTGTATGTTCTTGATCAATTCCTTAACCTCATTAACCTTTTGTTTTTTTATTGATAAATTTAACATAATTAAACAATTGTAAGGTAAGATAAGATAACAAACTTAAAGAATGCAGTGCAATGCCAAGTATAGAGTATATGTTAACTAAATAATGACTCTCTCTCCCTTTGGTTAGGAAAAAAGATTATGGAGCTCTCAAGAGGGGCAAAGATTGCTTGGCTGTCTCTTAAGGATAAATACTTTTCAATATCTAACAAATTTTTAACTGGAATAAATGTGACATTATTGGGAAGAAAAATAATCTTGGGTTGTTGCCAGGCCTTAAAAGGGCATAAAGTGAGGTTTGACAGGACAAAAATTACCAATAAAGCAGTCTAGGGATGGAGGGCTGAGCAGGGGATAAAACAGTTTGAGAGGCTCAGCCTCAGCATTTAGATCCTCTAATTTAAAATATAAAAATCAAAGATATAGACCAGCTCAAAACTCAGTATGTTCTTCTAAATTAAGACCTTCAGAAATCTCTAATAATCCCAGAGTAAGAAGCTGATATAAGAATTAAATGTTTGCACCAAATACATATTATCTAATTAACTTGATTAAAATACGACTTTATCTCCTTTGTGTATAGCATAGTGCCTAGAGATTATTTAGTAACACTTACACTATATTAACCAAACATCAATAAAACATTTTAGGCAAGAAATTTGAGGGGGCTGCAGAGTTAAAGAAATACTCTTCTAAAATGCTTCCAATATGTCAGAGTTTTTTTGTTCTGTTTGTTTGTTTAAGGTACAACTGTTTTTACAGCAGACCATGTGATTCCAAATGAAAAATCAGTCTGAAAGGTTCAAAGTAACCTGTCAATAAAGCCAACATTGAGAAAGCCAACATTTGTAGGCTTGACTTACCATACTGTCCCCGCCTGCAGGGCAGAGGAGACTGTTATGGCTTTATCGAGGTCTTTGGTAAAGACTCCTGCTGATAAGCCGTACGAAGTATTGTTTGCTCTCTTGATCACGTCATCTAAAGATTTGAACTTCATGATTTGCTGTACAGGTCCAAATATCTATACCACAAGGAAAGAATGAATAAATCAAAGTAATAGGTTAAAACTAAATATTTCAAATGATATTGTAAACTACCCAAAATTGACTAAGATTTTGCTTTTCATCTCAAACCTATGCTTAAGAATCAAAACAATAGTTGCTGGAATGTTAAGACATGTACAAAATCTATTTGGAATAAGATGGGATACCCATACATAAGGCAATATTTGTTTTCTAGAATGGGAATTAGTCTTCCAAGAACTTAAATGATTATGCATGAAATCATTAACTACAGAGTTGCTTTCAGAATATTTAGGAACATTTTAAATTCTCTCCCTAGGTTTCCTCATTTTCCAAGTCACTACATAAACAGCAAACCCAAGAAAGCAATGCTTGTTCTACTGGTTAAATGAGTAGGCAATGACTGCTAATAATAACTGTGTTTTAAATACCAGTTTACCATCAACTGAAATGTCAACTATTATATTGGACTTAGATCTTTTCATTGTCAGCCAAGTTAGGTGAAACAGCATGAATTTTTGTTCAGATTCCACTATTCGGCCAAATCTTTTTTCAACTCACATATACCAAACAGAATAATTCATTACTGCAAGAGCTTAAATTCTCATCCACTCTGTACTAACCAAAGCATGAGTTCATTGGTAATAACTATAATCACAGGGTAGAAAACAAAAATCACAGTTTTTCATTCCAGCCTAAACACTTTCACTTTCTCTAAACTCTTTAGTTAGTGCAGCCCAATCTCAACTCATTCTGTATTTTAAGCCCTGATGGGAGAAAAACAACTGGGTTTTCTCTTAAAAATTAAGCTCCTGTATTTTCTCATAAAACATATTAAAATTAAATGAAAGAGAGGCTCCTCCAAGTGTTACCAGAATTTTTTTTGAAATGTAAATTCGAAGAAGCAAAAATCAGAAAAGCTAAGTAGTTTTCTGGTGTTCATCATCAATCTAAACGTAGGAGGGGGACAGCTAACATTCAATAGAGGCTGAGTATAAATTCTAAGGTTGTAAATCTAATATTGATACTATAACCTGGGAACCACATATATAGCAGCTACTATAATAAATGTGTTAATATGTTACTTAATTTTAATTGAACATAGCACATGGCTCTAGGCTCCTACTTTGAAGGAGCGCACAACCTGTTTTACTACGAGCATTGCAGGAATGTAATAAATGTTTCCTTGATTGAAGATTTTTCCAATAGTCCTTTCTATCTGGTATTAACTAAGATAAGCAAGAACGAAAACTCTAACAAGACAAATCTTTATCAATAAATACAAAAGTTATAATTCAGCTGAGGGCTGAATCAATGTGCAGAAACTAAGTTGTTTGATCGTCCATGTGCATTTGCTTTTTTGTCCTTCCTATTTATTTTCTGTTTGCAAATCTAATTCTGCATTTTTCCTCTAATTTGATGACATTGTGGGGGTTAAGGAAAATAACTCACCCAGATTCTCTGTCATTTCATAGGCATGAAATACAACTTTACTGAATGAAAGGATTATAATTCAGTATATTTGAGTTGCCAGTGCCTTCTTATTGTAGTTTTTAATGTAATACCTTCATAGACCAAAGCTGATGAATCTAGCTCTGGATTTATTAAAAGCTTCAGTGCCCATGAGGTAGATTACTTATAATTCTTAAATGTAAACTAGGCCTTCCTAGTTATGTGTCATATCTATGAATAACATTCTTTTTGATGTTAAGTAGGTTGTGCTCACCAAATATTTAACTGCAATATATTTGTCTAGAAAAATTAGGAAGTGCAATAACTTCCAAGAAAACATGGAAGGTGATAAATAATGTAGAGGATGAATACTATTTTCAAATATATGTATGGCTTTTAGATAGGAAAAAGTCTTAGGGAAATATGAGACCAGTAGGTTGAACAAACGAAGAGGGATTCCTAAGCAGCCAGAGGAAGAACTTTCTAATGCTTAGCATTGTCCAAACATGGAAATACCTAAGAAATAGTGAGTTACCTATTTCTGATGTTGTTTAAAAAGACATCGACTGACCACTTGTCAGGAACAAACTGATGGACATAATGGGGGTTGCAGAGGTGGTCTTAAGTGATCCTTCCAGCTATATAATTCTGAAATAGTAGCAAGTCACTCAAGCTCTTTGTATCTCAATGACCTCAACTATAAATTTGACTTTTGGTCTGAATTATCCACAATGTTTCTTCTGGTGCTAACACTCTATCAATTTTTAACAGAATGGTTCCCACACGTTCCATGGGATTCTGTAATGTCAGTTTATGACGGGACTGAATGGAGAATGAAGTTAATCTGAGCAACATATGGTTAAGTAGAAACAGCGGGGAATGGTAGTCATGAAAATTATACTATACTCCCAAACTGCCTTTAACTAGACATTTGACTTGATTACTTCTTCGGGTATTAGGTTTCTTATCTACTATTTGGAATGATGACAAGAATATATCTAAATCGCAGTTGGCTTGTGGCTCAAAGGAGAACTCAAGATACAAAAAGTTTCAAGAAAGCTTGACATGATATATTCACAAGGGGACCAGAATAGATATAACATGTAGGAGCTGAGAACAATTACCATGTCTTTATTTAGGAAAGTTCTTGGATCAGAATATTATGCTTAATTATATTTAGTTGCCAAACATTAAAATGCATCATAGGAATTATAGACCTTATAAATTTTTTGAGATTTTCAGTAGAAAATAATACTATCCCAACTATGTGAAAATAATAAAAAAGAGTATTTGACTGTTCCTTGAAAGAAAACACTAGAGGCTTTTTTCTAATTTTGGAGAGATTCTATGAAAAGAAAAACAATACTCTTATAAGGTTGTTGTAAAAATTAAATGAGAATATTTAATGTTTATATTAAATATTTTATATTTGTATAAACATTAATATAAACCTTAAATATTCTCATTTAATTTTTACAACAACCTTATAAGAGTATTTATTTATATAAATATATTTATATATGTTATACATTATACATGTTATAACATATATATTTATAAATGTATAATACATACTATTATATATAATTTATATTATATTTATAATTTTTTATTTATTTATAAATTTTATTATATATAACTTTATATGTAAATAAATATTAACAAGGATGCAGAGAAATTGGATTACTCATACATTGCTAATGGGAATGTGAAATCTTTTAGCCACTCTGAAAAATAGTTTGGTAGTTTCTTAAAAAACTACATTTACCATATGACCCTTGGTAAATTGTACTCCTGGGCATTCATCACAGAGAAATGAAGACATACATTCATACAAAAAACTGTATACCAATGTTTATAGCAGCGTTATTCATAGAAACCCCAAACTGGAAACAACCCAAAAGTTCTTCCATGGATGAATTGTTAACTGTGGTACATCCATACTATGGACTACTATTCAGTCATAAAAAGGAACAGACTATCCTTACATGCAACATCCCAGGTAAATCTATGAAGAATTATGTTGAGTGAAAAAAAGCCAGTCCCAAAAGACTACATGAAGTATGATTTCATTTATTTAACATTCTTAAAATGATAAAATTATAGAAATGGAGAACAGATTCATGGTTAGGGGAAAGCCAAAGTGGGGTGGGAGGGATCTGGCTATTAAAGGGAAACGTAAAGGATTTCATGGGGTGATGCAATGTTCTGTTTTGACTGTATCATACTTGCTGTGATACTATGGTTGTGTAAGACGTTATCTCGGAAGGAAAGTGGTTAAAGAGTATATGGGGTTTTTCTATATTATTTCTTACAACAACAACTAAGTCTACAATTATCTCAAAATAAAAAAAATTAATTTAAAAAACTGCATATCATTTTATTCTTTTCCAATTATTTTCAAATACATATTTCCAAAGGAAAAAAAGCACATTGGAGATACGATTTTTTTTTTCTATTACATTAAATCTGTGAAGGAAACACGTAGAAATTGTTAAACATCCTGGTCTGTGTTTGGCTGGATATTCCTGGCCTGCCCAATGAATTCCTTACTATTTTTAGTCTTGATCACAACTTTAAACCTTTATCAATAACAGAAACGAAGAGTAACATTTACTGTGAAAAATGTACAAAGAGCTGAGAATTTTAAAGGGACACTTTGTGTACACACATGCAGATAAAATATTCAACAAAGAGAACAGAACAGAATGAAACCATTTACCTCCTCTTTTGCAATGCGCATCTCATCTGTAACGTTAGAGAAAACTGTGGGCTGGATAAAGTAGCCTTTATTACCCCATGGACCGCCACCACATTCCAATTTGGCTCCTTCTTTCTTCCCACTCTCAATGAGTTCAAGTATTTTTTCATACTGTTCCTTATCAATCTATTTGAAAAGTACCACATGAAAAAGGGAAAAAAAATCAGCAACTTGTAAAGATAATACATTGCCTGGCTTGTTAATAAGAGCTTCAGAATGCTAGAATATTGTGATTAAGTCGAATTCTCAATCAAAACAGCTGATGGAGGCTCAGATTCATTCTTTGGGTATATTTTATTTTCATGACTTTAATGGAAAGAAAACTTGAAGATAGAGATTTGAATTCAGTAATTGTTTTACAGTTATGTAAGAAAAACATATTGGCACTGCAAAGGCATGTAAACCTTTTCACATGACTGTCACTTATTTGCACTGGAAGAAATGCTTATTAATAATCAAACACACATACTTGGAAACTGTAGTCCTAATGGAAATAAAAGGAGTGTTAAGAGAAAAAGAGAAGTTTGGTACTGACTTGAATTAGATACGACAGATGGAAAGCTGATACTTTGGGAATTTAGGAAGACTTCTAACTCTCCATTTGGTTCTCCTCATGCCTGATCATCTCCTCTGGCTGGGTGCATGCTGACCACAGCCCGGTCATCCTCCCCAATTTAGGTCCTTCTACGGCAGTCAGTAGGTCTGGTTTCAATTTCTGGCCCATCCTGATTGTTACTATCCTACTCCATTAAATGGGCCACATCTAAATATGTGACAAGAATTACAGAATTTAAATAGTTTGTTAAATAATATTTTTATAAGAAAAAAAATGAGTTGATAGTTTTGTTTAGGAAAACCAGGAGCATATACCTCTCCTCCACGCACTGGTATTGGAGCTACCTATTGCCTCAACTCCTATGTTGGGATGTTGAAGGGTTGGACCCAAACCACTGGTGAAGACTGTTTTGTCTTAGATGTGGCTGAGGTTAAGTTTTAAAGGAAAATCTTCAGAGGTCAAAGAGTTAAGGTGAGGGCCTCTTGCCAGTTTAACTTGTCTCTTCTCACTACTTAAAAGAGTTTTCTTTATTTTCTTCTTTGACTCTGCAATCTCCCCCATCTTCGAGGCCCAATAAAAGGTTGCATAAAGTTCTAACTGCACACAACCCAGCAACCATAGCCAATTAGATTAAGTGCTATTTGAAACCAGAAACCATTTTCTAAAATTTGCACAATATTCAGTGCAATATTGCTCAATGTTCCTCATTACACAATATTTGATTAGATATTCTGAAAATATTCTTTGATTTCCAGCAAATTAAGAAAGTTGTAGTGCTGGTTTAATAAGAGGTGCTATTTAAATTACTGCATAATGTTTAATACAACCAAACTAAGAGGTGAGGTTAGGTAGCTCCGCTTGGTTAAGATATTCTACTTTGTCAGTAAATAGTCAAGGATCCACGTACCTCCCTACAAAGCTTTTCTGGCCTGTTTCAATGTATTAATCTGACAATGCCTCTAACAATCATGATCTTTTCAGTTTTTATCTCATGATCTGTTTCCCAAGTCAGAACTTCTCCCTGCCTGTGACCAAAGTGGGTAATTGGTGACAATCAGTTCCCTGTTATGCGCTGGGGAATAGAGGCTGAAAGGATTTGTTTGTTTGTTGGAAATTTGAGATCATTAGTGAAAATTTGGATGGTTAATGAAAATTTAGATAATTATTCTAAAAAATATGAGAATTTATATTTTAGTGTCTGGCTACTGACAATGTGGTCATACAACTAGCAGCTCCAGTACTATGTTATAGCATTGTGGATGGTGGACCTTGAGACAAAGATACTTACTAAGAAGGGCTCCTGGGGGCTAAAAAAAAAGAAGAAAAAGAAAAAAGAAAAACAGTCCAGCACCCGTTTCTACACAGAGGTCTCTCATGAAAACTGCACTTCAGGAAGAAGCTTGCACTAAAATCCTGCCTCCCACACTGCACTGCTTGCCTGTATTCTGTTCCTGCTGTCTGAGCCAGTGCCTACAAAGGAGTTCTTGGAATTGTATGTCAATCAATAGGACTGAGACTTTTCCTGTGCAATTGGAGCTATGCAGCTTTAACCCAAGCATCTTTACCAACCAATCAGCAGATCCATTCTGACTAATCAGGACAGTGCCTTTTGGACCATTCAAACTGTGAGGGTTTGGAGTCCTTGTTTGCATGAGGATGGACCAATCAGGGACCAGGGACAAGGACTTCTCTATGAGTCAGCTCCTCTCTGGCACAGAGAATACACTTTCCCTTTCCACTAAAGACCGAAGACTGCATTTCCCTAGTTGGAGCTAAAACAGAGAAATCTCAGAAAAAGTGTCACTGGAGCAGAGCAGGTGGAGAAAAGCAGGCAGAGTGGAGCAGACTGGCCAGAGCAGAACAGAGCTGTCTAGCTGGGTAGGAGCCTCTCCTGAGGGCTGCCTCATCCCAGGTCTGCCTCACAGCCATGTTGTTCCACAGCTATGCTGTTTCATAATTGAGCTGTAACACTATTAAGCTGTTCCACAGCCGTGCTGTTTCACAATTGAGCTATTTTTATTGAATAAAGTTTCCTTCTTCATCGCACCCCAATTTGAGGATTTCTGTTGGCGGTGAATTGGCATCAATGGTCATCAGTAGACAGGCTCCACCCCAGAGCTACTGCATCAGAATTTACATTTTAACAAGACTATTTAAGTGCACAGGAAAGATTGAGAACATTGCACTAGAGTTTAGGAGCAGTGACAGAAAATTTCAGTTCTACTTAGGGACATATTCAGTTTAGTCGGGATAATTTTGGTTCACCATAAATATAAACCTTCTTTAGAAGATTTCGAATTGACCATATCTGAGCTTGGCCTTCTTTTTAGCCCTCAGGAACTTCTCAATAATGCTAGGATGTAGCAGGGGCTCTTTACTGTGTAATAGGCCATTAGCTCATGGGCTAGTCTACGAAATGTAATAAGGCATGACATTGCTGCAACAGTCTCAAAGTATACATTTTGATGTGTTTGAATGTGCAAATTCTTTGATCCCTGAGGGTCAATGGGTTGATAAAGATGACAGATTGAGAAATGACAGACACATCTCTCATATTATTTGGAAACCATAAAACAACGAGAGCAGTAAGAGTAGCTATATGAAGTTATTGATCTGTGATGAGAATTGTCACTGTAGGTATAAATGGAAGCATGTAATTTTTATTTATTTAACAGGAATTTGAGTATGTAGTATGAGCCAGGTTCATAAATACTTTTTACCGATTATCTCATCTCAATGCACGATGACCCCTCAAAATTGATATTACTGACTCTCATTTTACAGGTGAGAAAATAGAGCCTCAGGGAGGTTAGATTATAAATCCAGCTTCTAACTCAAGTCCATCTCTCCACACAAGGACAAGATGTAACACTGCTGATGATGTTAGCACATTTTATGTGGCTATCATCAATTCTTTGTCAAATAAAAATACTGATTTTTCCCAAGTTTTTAAGTAAATGCACATTTTGTCTATGAAATAAATTGGAAAAGCACTTTACTAATGAAGAATTTATGATATATATGTATGCTAAAGCTTAGTTAATAAAGTGTCTCTTTCTATAAGCTTTCTTATAGCAGATGAGTATTTTTAAGGGTAAAGAAGCCCCAAGGGCTTTTCAGTCTTTTACTTCTCAAAGTCCCAACGTATCTACTTATTCTACTTATTTGGTGCAACCTGTGATAAAATCTATTCACTTACAGAGATTAAAGTTTTGTTAAGCAGTAAGATCACTGGATTGTTTACTTAAGAATCCTATGAATAGGAATTTTCTTAAAGTCTATTTTAATTTCCTTTTCTTAGAAATAATAAAGTGTTCTAGCTCAATTTTTTCAGCCTCTGATTGAACTGTGCAGATACCTAACAAGAGAAAAGTATTGCCCAATAATATTTAATGTTAAATATCTTAGATATTCTCTTCCTTCCCCTTTCCTCCCTTCTCCTTCCTTTCCCTTCCCTCTCCTCCTTTCCCATCTCTTTGTCTGTCTGTCTGTCTGTCTACCTACCAGTACATCATACAGGAAATGGGAAAAGTGCTTTACTTTTACATTAATAAATATATAGCTATTAAGAGAGAGAAATAACCACAACTAAAACTTAGAATACTTTTTATTTTAGAATGGGTGACCGAGTCAAATTGAATTTAACATATGTCTTGCTAGCTAATTGAAAAGTTTGCAAATATGATCAAAATTAGCGACTATTTCTATGTACTCATTAACTTGAAGATAAATACAAAGTATAATGGGATAAAGCCAAACAACTTATTATGGTATGTATTTTAGGGATTTCATGTCTGAATATTTGGCATTGCCTAAATCCCAAGATTTTCCTAATTGGATATTTTGAACGAGAAGGACACTACAAGACAGCCTCTTAACTTGTCACAACTGTAAACTCCATGAGGTCAGGTAGCATAACCTTCTAGTTTTGCTTGGCATTGCCAGGTACCTATCCCAGGGTTTAGCTGATAGTAACATTCAATAAATTTTGGTTAATCAAATTTATTTTTGACTTAGTGAATAAATCAAGAATAGTATTTGTTCCAAATCAACAGTGTGGAACAGTGATAATTTTTATTGTGGAGGAATAAAGGCTCTAAGTTTATTGTGTAGACTCTAGAGCAGGATTTCTCAATAGCGCCCCTATTGGTATTTTGCACCAGATAAATCATTGTGGGGTTCCCCTGTGCAATTTTAAGATGATCAGTAACATCTCTCTGGCTTCTACTCTCTAGATACCAGTGGGTAGATACTACTGGCGGTTCTACCAGTAGAACTACCCCTCTCTCCAAGTCGTGACAGCTAAAAATTTCTCAAACATTGCAAATTGAGGGCAAAATTGTCCCCAGCTGAGAACCACTGCTCTAGAGCAAGATCCCAAAGGGCAAGAGGAGATTTAGAACCAAAGGTTCAGGAGCTTCCATAACAGACAATACACGGAGAATGGCAAGGAAGAGTGAAAGAGGACCTTTGAATAAAAGAGAAAGAGAAACACTCTTATTGAAAATAGTTCTAAGTAGACAGAAGAAAATGGGAATCTGAGGAGAGTAATTGGTCTGTAACAACTAAAATGAGAAGTTTGCCACAAACTCAGGAACATCAGACCTTTTAGGACACATCATCAGTAGAAGATCAGAGTAACTAAAGACATTGGGGAGAGTTTAGAGGCATGCTAGGTGCCTCTCTCTGTGGTTTGGAAGCTGAGACAAAGAATGGATTCCAAGAAAGAAATAAATGATAGACTTGTATAAAAATTTACAAGTACATAGAGAACTCACTGTATATGGGAATCAAGAGGCATGCAGATTGAAGGAAACTATAAATTTACATCATTTGTTATTTTTCCTCTTTAATTCCTAACATGAGTCACAAGCTGTTCTTAGACATAAAAACTAGGCAATGCAAGAACAGGATGATTTTTTTACTGTTCGGAGTTAGATTAATTACTTTTTTAAATCACTGATATAGTATCACCACCCAGGAAGACGCATACATGGGAAGTAATCTTATTTAATGAAAACTAGGCCTAAAGAGAACGCTTTATTCCTGTCCCCTGAGAAGTCTATTCCTTCTATTGTATACCTACCTGAGGGCCTTGATTGACTCCTGGGGTCAGAGGGTTTCCAAGAACATACTTTTTAGCCCGCTCGACACTCCTTCGAACAAACTCATCGTAGATTGATTCTTCCACAAAAAGCCGGGATGCAGCTATACAACATTGGCCCTGGTGGTAGAATACTCCAATGTGTGCAAACTCAACGGCATTGTCCACTACAAAGAAGACATCCACATTAAAGAAGAAATAGTTCCTTAAGATTATATACATATCACAGAGGCAATATGGTGTTACAGAAAAATCATGAGTTGTATAGTCAGACATCGATTCAATATATTCTACCTCTTATCAGCCAGGTGACAAATTAACCTTTCTGATCCTTTATTTGCAATGGAAATAGCAGCAACAAATAGAATCTAAATAAATGTGGTTATTATTACAAGTTTTAACATGGACATTACTAAAAATGTGAAAAGTGTCATAATATCAAATGTCACTGCAAAAGGTTTTTATAAATATCTTTGTTTATAATTAGGTGACATCAGGCCTCGGGTTTTAACTAAATGACAAAGAAAATATAAAATATCCATCGTATTAAATAACTTCAACACATTCTTAGATACCTTGAAAACTGGTATTTCTGAAAAAAGAAAGAAGAAAACTAATATTCAGAATCGTTCCCCACTTTACACCTGTTCTAGAAGAATTTTTTCAACTCTATCTAAACTATACCACATTATTTCATGTGTGCTTATAAACTCTTCTCATCTATGTATTTGAGTTGGTAGAATGGGCCTTAAAAGGAAGAAATAGTTTGTTCATTAGTAGATCCTAAACAAATAGAAGAAAGTTTTCTCTGCATTTTAATTATTTAAATGCTGAAGAGTTAATTCAACATTGTAGCAGTTGGGCATTGTTACTTTTTTCTTGTGAATTAACCACATCTGCTTAAGTTTTAGTGCAGGCAGTTTATGGAAAGGTTTGGTAAAATCGGGAATCCTGTCATGTTTATAGACCATATAATAAGGTAAGGTGATCTAAAAGTTTCAGTTAAGATCACAATACAACATAGGCCAGTTCCATTAGCCATTTGTGTTTAAAGCCTCAGACCAATAACACAGCTGTTAAAGAGTTAGATGAGTATTTGAGCATCTATTTCTGTTAATTGATTCTCATTTAGGAAATAATTGTGGGATTCTACTTGATATTTTATAGTGGAGTCACATTATAACTATAGATTTAGTATATGTTAATTCAACTACACTTGCTAGAAGAAAAAAATTACTTAAATAGTATTATTTTCTTCTGGCCATGTCAAATAAAATGAGTATATGACCCAAAATGAAGAGAAATGATGAATGTGAAATTTACTTTGATTCCATTTGGTCTCAGTCCAATATGTCTGAGGGTATCTCACTCTTCTTAATGGGATGCTAATACTTAAAGCTATGGAATTAGAAATATATATTATGGCCCCTAAATGTAAAACAGTTAGTTTATCTAGAGTTTAGCTGGGAAAATAGAAATCTATTCCGAACCAGGAAGAAATAGTGTCTGTGTTAGACTTAGCTAGATGTTATAACTGTAGGACCTTTTAAAAGATTTTTAAGAGTAATACTCGACTCTGATTAATGCCTTACACCTTGACATGAGAAGCAAACCCTCTTGTAAACTTCAAGTTCACTGTATGACATTACAAAAAGGATGAAAAGTAAAAGGTAAAAGAGTGATTTCTACTCACAGTCTGCGTCAGCAAACACAATGCAAGGGCTCTTTCCACCGAGCTCCAGGGTCACCCTCTTCAGATTGCTTTTCCCAGCAGCTTCTTTGATTATTTTGCCAACCTACAATGGAGCATTACAAAATAGATTTAACCTGCTTTCGTGAAGGCAGGTTTATTTAGCATTTTAAATTTATATGAAGTTTGTGCCATAGCTAAGTTTCATACGAGAGAACCTTAAATGGCATTTTTCAAGATCTAATACCTCCTCGGTCCAAACATAATCATATGGTGAATCCGAAAAATGCTCATGAGAACAGAGATATAGAATACAGAAGCTGATCTTGATGTATATGGCTAGAAAGTTTTCCTCTCTCCCGCCACACCTTTGAACAGTGGAGTTAGAAGAAAGAAATTGGATCTGTGCTCTGTGCTGCTATTTCAGTTAGCTGGAATCCTACTGTTCTGATTTCTTCTTTAATGCTAGTTGCCTCTCTTCAGAGAAAGACATTGTTTTTTTGTTTGTTTGTTTTGTTTTGTTTTTGTTTTTGTTTTCCTTTGTGGATCACTTCCCATCAAGATTATTTTCTGTAGTTTTCATTTTTCATCTCTAAAATCTGGATTGTTTTATAACTGTTATTTTTTATTAAAGTCTTAATGCACTAAAATGATCTTTGCATTTTTTAAAGAAAGATAATTTATTTTTATTCTCTAGATTTCTTTTCCTATTTGGCACCTCCGATTTAAAAAAAAAAGTTTCTATCCAATTGAACAAAAGTAGATGTTTGCTGAATATATGTTTAAATTTTACGTGTTTACCAAACTGACTGCTATTGTGCATTACAGAGTAGAACATTAATTAATCTGCTAATGTTTTTATCTTATTTAAAGATTTTATGGGACTAAATCAAACTCTTATGGTTAATAAAAAATAAACTAGAAGTATACTTGCAGTGGGGAAATCCTGTCTGAAATTTCTCCTGTATCCATTTTCTTTCCACAACATATTTCTTATGACCACTTTAAAAAATTGAGTTTTAAGGGCAATTAAGAATTTTCTATTTGCTAGATATTTCTTTAAGTAGCAAATAACAGGTTTGCTTGAGTTTTTCCCAAAGTCTAGCTAAAACCAAACAAGGAAACATCAAGTTTTGTCCTATAATTTTATTCCCTTGATTGGAAAAAAGTAAAGGTTTATCGCTTTTCCCAAAGAGGTCTGCAATGAAGAAAAGAAAGGAACTATTAAGATTATGGTAAACAGTATATGCCCACATTGTGCAGGATATAATAAGTTACAACACTTATTACAGTATCTAACCGACATTGTGCAGGATATAATAAGTTACAACACTTTCATGAGCATCTGCTACTTCTGCAAATGCCCATGAAAGTGTTGTAACTTATTATATCCTGCACAATGTGGGTTAGATATTGTTTTAAATGAATCTCATGGGACATAAAATTCATACCTTGCCAGAAGCACTTTTAGAACGGGGTTCATTGCTACAATGACGAGAAGAAATGTAGTTTGCTTCTTTATGACATTTGGCAAGTCCTTACTAACTGCCAAGTAACAAAACTGAAGCTAAAAGAGAACTCAGAAAGATTGATTTTTCTGTGAGGCTTATAAAATTATCTTAGTCACTCTTAATTTTTTAACACTTATTTAGAAGTATTAGTGTACTAGTTTCTGAAGATAACAATGAATAAGGATAATTAACTTTTAGAAGACACACTGCTTACGAGGGTAGAGTCAGAATTTGAACCTAGATGCTTCCTAGTCCTCTAATCTGAAGGTTTCTTCGTTGGTAGGTAAAATGCCTCCAGAATGCTTTAGGGGCTCAGGGATGAGCCAAGAATAACAGGCAGTGATACTGGAGATGGGATCAGGGAACAGTATAGCCTGTGGCCCAGATGAACTGAAGAAATGAGTAGGCATGAGATCTAGAGCTGGTAATGTACATGAAGTCCCTGTTGGGGAAGGTCTAGAATACTAGGCTGAGGAATTTGTGTCTTCTGGTCTTTACCTAATCTGCTATGATTTCAACCTGTGACTTCACCATTTTTAATTTATTGCCATGTCTTGAACATTCTCAATAGTTTTGTCCACAGACTCCTGAGTCAGGATTGGCTTTCTCCCAGCTCGATTAGGGGTTTGCACAATGCAAACATTTTTTTCTCCCTATATATGAAAAAACAATAAAAAGTATACACTCATTTCCCTAGTTTAAAAAGATAAAAATAAAATTTGTTTTTCCATTATTTTAGTTCTCTATGTAAATTTCTTTTTTTTAATTGGAGTGGCTAATTAGGAGTATAAAGTAATCCACTTAGTCTTTCCTCACTATCTAGAATGTTCTTCTTGCTTCTCAATCTCTGGGGAGTTTGAAAAGTAACCATTCTTCAAAACCCAGAGCAAGTTCTAGCACACATTTCGACATCATTATTCCCTCCTGTGAACTCCCAGCACTTCGTACACATCTTAGTATCTTATCACATCCTGCCTTGTTTCTTATTTGTGTCAGCAGCTTTACAAGAAAGGGTTATTCTCTCTCTTCATCCTCTGTACTATATACCTGTAAGAGGCATGCATTATATTTTGCCTTATATATCTAACAGTGTCATATAATCTAAAAAAATGACTCAAGAGGTATTTTTTGTTTTTGTTTTGTTTTTGCTTAGTACAGTATGATTTCATCACTTGCTTTTGTTTGCAATAAAAAATCATTTCAATAGGTAGGAATCCATTCTCCCAAATTCTGCCTTCCAGACTGCTCTCCTTTTCTCTTCCTTATGCCTGTCCTCACAATGCCCATGGCTGAGGCCCTGTTCTTTAACCTTCTAGGAAGCTCAGCTAGAGCCAGAGAGGCAGAAAAGTTAGGCAGGACCAGCAGTAACATCCAGGGAAGATGAACAGCTAACTTCTTTTCAGAACGTTCAGGGAAGAGAGAGCCCCAAATAAGGAGCTGCTGACGGTGAGGTTCTGCTATTTAAGTTTTATAATCTACAGGTTAAAATTACATTCATTCACGCAAATCGTTATAGCCTAATTTATATTTTCTATCATAAACTGTACTAATCATATGACAAGTTCTAATTGGTCATATTTCTCATTAGGAAAAGTAATAAACACACTGAAAACAATTTACACCAGTCATTCTGAGTTGGTAATAGGTATTTCATTTCATCTCAATTACATCTGCTTATATTCTATAAACATGCTTGAACCAGGACGAGGAACTAATCATTAAAAAAAACTTTTGTTTTAAGAACATGTCAGCTTAAAAACAGTTATATAAACCATGCTTCTGACAGCTGGAAATGCAGACATTCTTCACTACCAGCCTGAGTAAATGTTACCTCTGTAGATCCTGTGAAGGCCACTTTGTCTATGTCCATGTGAGAAGAAATGGCTGCCCCTGCAGTAGGCCCATAGCCAGGCACGATATTCACTACTCCAGGAGGAAATCCTGCCTAAAAGACACAAAGTAAAAAAGTTATGACAGAATGGAGAATTTATTTCTATTAAAAAAAGAAGGGAGTATGGGATCAAAGCTGTCGCTTTTGCTAACCTTATGAGTTGCTCTACCAAAAAAATTCATTATCATCATCATCATCATCATCATCATCATCATCATCATCATCATCATCAAATTTCATTGGTTAGCCCACGTAAAATGACCTCAAGGGTTGCACTGTTGAGGGACCATTTCTCCTCAGGAAAGTCCATAAGTGACTTTTATGGATCAATGCTCCAATGATGGCTTTCTCAAATTTTTTAATAGTAACTCAGAAAGATAGTATGCATAAAAGCATTTAGTAAATTCTCACACAGAAAGACAGCAATGTGCTTCTTATCCCATCAGCAAAAATAAGAAGCTAAAGAGACTCCACATTTTAGTTTCTACCTGTTGACAGTTAAAGGTATACTAACTGGGTTGCAAATTCCCATTGGTATGATTTAATAAAAGGTTAATCATTCATTCATGGTTAAGCTTCACTGATTGATTTCATTCCTAGTTAAAGAGTTATCAGGTAGGAAACTGTGACAATTGATGTAGGCACATTAAAATTTCATGTTATTTGCATCAAAATGCCTCATTTTGACATCTCTTTTTTTTCCCAGTGACTAAAGCTTGTTTTTAAAGTTTTTTTTCAATATTTAATTTTTAACTTTAATTTGGTAAAGTATTGGCAAGATATGAAGAAAGAAGGACAATAAATTATTTACAAGAAAAACGATGTTAACATAATCTGGATAGCTGATGAAATTAAATTTCATGTGCTCTTTTGCTAGTTTTTGAGCATAAAGGTAAAATGCAGAGGAAACCATAACATAAGAGAATATTGACATATCCCTTCATGGGTAGATGTGCTTAAAAATAATGTGGCTCAATAGTACAAGCAAGCATACTGGCACAGAGGCCTCCAATCTTTGAATAGAGTAGCTGAAGCAAATTTTCAGAACCTTCCAGTCATTAGTGGCAGTTATAAAACAACTTACGTTCCAACATTTGAAAGAAAGCTATCAATTTTAACATGAATTTGCATTTGTGAGAATTGGAGTAAAAAAACAAAGAAGTGATGGTAAGGTGAATGTTTAACATGAAGCCTTTGAGTCTGGCTTCCTGTCTCCATTTGGGCAGAAGTTCTTTTGGGTTGCCTACCAGAGATTCCAGCTGGCAGCCATACTAAATGTGTCTGCACCACTGGACTGAAACCATTGGCAGATAATGTAGTTTACAATAGCACCAAATGAGGTCTTCCTATTATAAATCAGGACTCCTGCATTTGGTGCATTTTTTGATTTAGAAACTTACCTCTTTTATTAAAGATGCCATGTGAAGAGCAGTGAGAGGAGTTTGCTCTGCTGGTTTGATCACCACTGTGTTTCCGGTGCTAAGGGCAGGCCCTATCTTCCAAATGAACGTCACCAACGGGAAATTCCACTAGAAAGCAGTAGATAACAATAGAGTCTTTGTATTGTCAAAAGCCACATTCACTAACCTAAATTCTACATTATACACTCCTTGTAGATGTTAAATAATAATTGTAGTAGTTTTCTTTAATCATCTGGTATATGCTAAAACATCTTATAAATGCTAAGAAGATCCAAATAAACTAGATACAGGAGAGGAGCAGAGTGAGCCACTGCATTTTATCAAGCACTGTTATTTTGAGCTCTTTTTCTATCGAGAGAAAAAAAATCACTGCATGGTTTGAAAATCAAGCCTTATTATTTAACATACATATATTATCTTGTAACTGTTTAAAAAGTGTGATTATTCCTCCCTTTGTATATATCATCTCGTTACTATTTACCCAATAAAAGTATTTAGTAGTATTTATTTCTAAGACAAATACCTTGCTAAAGACAAAGAAGTCTAGGGTCTGAAGGCTGAGAGCTTGGTTCAAATCTCAGCTCAACCACAGACCAGCTATGTGGACTCAGACAAGTTACATGCTTTCTGTGAATGATGCCATCATTTGCGAGTGCTAATATAAGTCTTCTGTTCCTCAGAAGTTTGTCCTGAGGATTCATGGAGAAAGTGGGCCAAATGCTTAACATAGTGACGGGTTCATCATAGACATGCAGTAAGTATTAATTATTATTAATATTCAAAATTGTGTAGTTTTTATGGATTTTATTAATATTTTTGAATTAATGAGAAATTTCATTCAAAATATTAATATGTATACACTTTAATCTTGTTGAAACAGAAGATAAGTCATTGCCACTTCCTCATCTAAGAATTTGGAACACATTATCATCTTTTTATTTGGTCTTTTTGAATATTTCAGTTAAATTGAAATCGTTTAAATAGTTTCTATTTGTTAAGCCAAAAAGAAAATCTTCATGATTCTGCTTAAAATACTACCTTCTTTAAGAGGAATTTGAAGTATCAAAGCCTGTTATCTAAAGTGAGAATCTATTCCATCAGTACTCCAATAGTTCCTTCCATTTGAATTAAAACATCTCATTCAAGATTTGAAACTCTAATTGCTACTATTCTCCATGATGAGAAGTCCCAGCGAGGAGATAAAAATGTTGGAGCATGGTAGACCATACTATATTTCACTAAAATGGTGACCCGCAGCAGATGTGCCAGCAGTGACCACTTTTCTATAAAATGACAACTTTTCTGTAAAGTATGAGACTTAAAAAGAGTATATGATACAGCATTTTAAAAACAAACAATAGAATAAAAGGTCGAGAATTGTTGATGCTGTAATATTAAAACATACTCAAGAGATATGCTGGGATATAGGTAGTTTTCTGGACTAATTCATATCCAAGGAGTTCAGTCACAGGGAGACCCAAGTTCAACAGTTGCTGCATTTGCTCCTCATTTAGCAAATATCTAAGCATCGTTTGTGCTGAAGAAAGCTTCATTACCAAGTGAAATAGAATTAGAACTCATTTGCTTTCTAACATTAAAAATTATACAAGAGAACAACTTACAGGAATGATTTGGCCACATACACCAATAGGCTCATGTCTTGTATAACAAAAAAAATCTCCATCTGGAAAATAAAATACACAATTATTTATAGATAAATGGACTTTATATTCATGGAATATGGTGGTTCGGTGCTGATGTGGGAGGAAGGTATAAACAACTTAAAAAAAAACACATCTCCAACTATTTACAAAATAAAAAATTGAGCCCTAGAATAGTAATCTGAAATGAGAGGAACCATAGAAGTGAATTAAATCAAAGCAGATATACAGAATTGGAAAAGATTGAAAGATATTTAATTCTACCACTTATCATATAGGGGGGTTGTTTTCAAAATCATTCTTATTCTCAAAGTTTCCTTTCTTTTATAAGAAAGGAAGTAAAAGATGTGTGGCTAAGAAAAGAATAGCTAGAATTTTGTTTCTAGCAGCTCTAAGTTCTACCAGTAATAATATAATTCTTAAGCAATATAATTTAACAATAATAAAATTTTAAAATAATAGAATTTAAAAATATTTTCTTATGAGCAATAAATCTTTCCTGTTCTAAACATTCTTTTTTTTTTTTTGCCTACTATACAATAAACGCAAACTTTCTTTAACTCATGAAAAAATTTCCAGAAGTAAAAGACATTTCTTTTCCATCTGGCTTTGATTGATTCATACGCCTCAAAGTTTGATGTGATTATCCTAAGGGTTACATTGTACTTTGTGCTCTGTTCTGTTCTAGTTTCCACAAAAGCTTTTAGTTATCATAGCAAGAAGGCTCCTTATCAAGATCTATTTCTACTTTAAATGCCTTCTCCCATGTTGTCAAAGGGTAAAGTAAGACTTTATAAAATAGCCACATTTCTTGGTATCACCATGGTCTCACTCTCTCCTTTTACCTTCCTCACTATCACTTCTAATCTAATGGATGCTCTAATGACACCGGAAATGTCCATCAGGGCTAGTCCTGGAGAGTGTTGTTTAACTATAGTCATTAAGTTTATATGAGTTAAATTCTACCTATAATGTTTTCCAAAACGACACTTTTTAAATATTTCTATGCCATTTTGTGCATACACTACTAAAATACTGAAACAAATACTGACATATTCACTCATACAAACTCTTAGATTGTGCTATAAACACAGTCTCTTCTTTGAAGCTACTTGAAACAAATCAAGGTGAATTGGTTTGTTTTATTAATCTGCTGTAACTATTCTGAGTTAGACCAGGCACAGATTTCATAACTGACTCATGCTGAATCATGCAAAGAGATTAGAATAATTACAATTTAGAAAAGGTATAAATGCCACTATTGGAATAAAACCCAAGCAAATAACTTCAGAGGCCAGCTTTGAAAAGTTTGGGCCATGAGAGAGAAAATGGCCTTAAGTCAGTAATTTAGGCATAAGAATGTTTTTACTTTAATATTTTCTAAAATACCTACAGTGTTAATCTTCTGCATGATTATATTGAAACATTCTTAAAAGCCAGCTGATGAATCATAGTCAAACTTCCAGGTTCAGAACTGCATTGTCTCAAAGTCAAGTAGAAAATAATGTTGCCTTATTTGGCTGACATCTTTAAAATGGAAAGTTTGGAATTATTCAGCTCTACAGTAATCTCCTCACTGCTCTCCACACCACTGGTTGTTTCTTAAAGCTACTTACCTATAGGTAGAGTGCGGCCTTGAATCTTATCAGCCCATCCTGCACAGTAGTGTAATGTTTTAATGCAGCCTTCTAAATCCCTCATATACGCAATGGGAAATAGTTTTCCACCATTCATGGACTCCATGGTCTGAAAAAGATGTTAAACTTCAAACTTAAACTTCTGTCAATTTTTAGATTAAAAATATGTAGTTAATATTTTGAACTGTTATGTGCTGGAGAATTTTAAAACTAGAGATTTTGTAAGTCATCTTGTCTAACCTTTTCTTTTTGATAAAGAGACTAAAAAAAAGTTAAAATGACTTGCTTTGATTTGCTTACGGTCACACAGCAAGCTCCAAGTAGAGAGGCTAGTCAGATTCTGGCTTCTAACCCTAGTGCTTCTTCTGACTCATTCTGAATGTCCTCTAGCGAACCAACTTTCTAGAAATTAGTCACAATTTGATACATGCATAGCTAGTGAGAGTGACATCTACTCTCCTTAGTCCGTTCAGAGTTTCAACAAGATTTCACTTGTCTAATACAACTGTGGGTGACAATTTAGTGTTAGTGACTATTAATAATGCCTGACTATTTTTTGTTTTTAAATTTCATCTCCATATAACCAATCAATTTTCACACACACACTTAAGTGACCCCTGGACCTTTTATCCATGAGTTTCTTCAGCATAATTTTTAATTGTGAAACTCTCAGTTTTGCTACTATGATCATAATTATTGTTTGAGTAGTCAGGCTGTAAAGTTCAACCTTCTCTGGTCTAGTACCCTAACCATTATAGAATGATCTCTCTCTTCCCTTGTCTTTCTTAAGCAGAACTTTAATGAGCTCTTTGAGACTT